AATTTACTACCCTATTACGGTAGGGATGCAAACATCCACTGAATTAAACCGCTGTAAAATGCATCAGATAAATATTTGTTATTTTTCTTTTTTTTTGCATAAACCTGTTAATTAACCTCAGTCCTGATCAAAACTACCGTATTGTTAAAAAATTACAGGATTTTAACTCTTTAAGTGCCAAATTCATGAACGATATCACTGATTTGGTGAAAGAAACACACAAAATGACCTATTTTCAATAAAAAAAGTAATTGTGGAATAAATTCATTTTTAGACTTTTGTCAAAGTCTTGGGCATGTCAAACAAAATTGCATTTGATGCATTACTTTTGATTGATTTTCACCCCAAAAAATTTGTTGATGGTTTTTCCTGTTGGAAATAATTTGTAATGTTTACTGTTGCTCATCATTGGCAGCATTAACCCTTTAGATTGGCCTGTGCAAAATAAAAAAATGTGGTTTCTGAATTTTATATGGAGTAAAACCGCAAATGAAAGTGTGTCTATGTGTGAGTGACCTTTGCGCACTTACCTTAATGGGTTTAAATATGCATCTCAGCTCTCAGAACTGGAGTAAATTAAAACAAAGACTGTGTATTTATGCACCATCAAATGTGGTTATAATGGAAGTCAACGGGGCAAAAACAGCCACCAACAGTAAATTAGGGAGAAAGTTAGAAAATCTAACAATGCATCAAAGCCAATGTTGTTACTAATCGTTCACTTGTAGCATGCACTGCACTTTAACCAATCCATACTTGAAACAATACTGCCTACAACTATGTGGACACCTATTCATTGCACATATCGCTGTCAATTTTACAATGTCGTTGTATTTGCTCTGTCTGTATTTTGCACTGTCCTTGTATTTTGCACTGTATCTGTATTTTGTACTGTCTGGAGCCAGCACCTAAGCTTTTCACTCATCATAGCACACGTGCTGCTGCTGATGTGACAATAAAAGTGATTTGATTTGACATGTCCAAGACTATGATAAAAGGTAAAAAACAATCCAGTCCACAATTACTTTTTATATTGAAAAAGTCTTATTTTTTGTGTTTTTTTTATACCAAATCAGTGACATCATTTGTGAACTTGGCAATTAAAGAGTTAAAATCCTGTCATTTTCTAAACATTTTGATCAGGACAGAGATCAACAGATTTATGCAAAAACAAAATTGCAAAAAAAAAAAAAAAAAATCTAATGCATTTTTACAGCAGTTTAATCCAGTGGATGTTTTCATCCTGAACATAACAAAAGGGTAGGACATCTGAACTGAGCACAAGGGTTAAAAATCATAATTCGCCTTTAATGAGTTCCCTGCTGTAGAGATGATTGTGTTGTCGCATTATGCTGCTTTACTGATGTGTAATTCACTATTGCTTTTAGCGTGACCATTAAACAAGGATGTGTTTAAGATTCTGCAAGCAATTTCAGTCATTTTGCTTTTCTGTATTAGGCCAGCCATAATTTAACAGATTTTAGGCAATGTTCACACTTTCAAATAAACTTAAAAAACAGAGCAAACACACCAGAGATTATTTTAATTGAACCAAACATACATACCCTAATTGTTTATTGTACTATTCTGTTGCTGTCCTGTATTCACAGTATATGCCACAAGCGAAACAACATGAGTCAATTTGCTAATCAACAAGTCAGTTATTATTATATTATATTATATTATATTATATTATATTATATTATATTATATTATATTATATATGGAATGGATATAATATTACATATTCACAAGATGGTCCCAATAAAATTTGTGATTTAAGTCAAGCCATTATTTCTTATTACTTACTGGATAAGAATCGCTGATAATGTGATAATGTGGAAATGAATTGAACACTTAGAGTGACTTACAATTACAAGAAGTGTGTTATGTTTGCATCAGCCGTGAATGGTTGTTAAAGCACAAATTAAAATAGAAGTTTACAGAAAAAATTATATATATATATATATATATATATATATATATATATATATATATATATATTTATATATATATTATTCTAAAAATACAAACGTAAGATTATACAAACATAGAGTTATTAGTATGGCTCAATTGTAAAGTTGTTATTGTTATTTTAGCAGAGTTAGGCTCGATTGTAAGGTTGAATCGATTCAGGAGAGCTTTGTTTGAGAATAGGACCGTAGGCGTGTGACATATTGGAATCATAAACAATGCAACATCTGACTTTTAATTCTTCACAAAAATATTCTTATAAAACAAACTGACATTTATGTGGCACAAACGTGTTATCTTCAGAGGGATGGAATTGGATCTAAATACAGCCTGAAAAATATTATACTCGAAGACAAAGTATATACTTGTATTTGGTTTGAAGGTTAAGAAAGAGGCACTCAATAACACTCATTTCCTTTAATACACATTCTAGCAGCTTACAGTGTTCTGTATCTGTTTCCTATATTTGCTGCTTTTGTAAATTTGCAATGTTAATGCATCCCCCCTGTAGGTTTATTAACCACTCTAATAGAATCTGAGCACAGATTCAGCATTCAAAGCCACCATCTCTATTAAATAATTCTCTAATTTGGCAACTGAAACATCATTTCACCCCTAAATATTTTATTGTTGGAGTTCTAGTCCTTTTTGGTAGTCTGAAGGGCTGTATCTGTCAGGTAGTGAGGATGTTTTGTGCGTGGTATTTCATAAACAAATCGTTCACAGCACCTTTAAGAGATGCCAAACTCAGCATGTGTTCATGATGAGTCATACACAGTGAGGGAGTTATTCGGATCTCTCTCTCTCTAGGCCAGCCCATTGTGCATTCTTAGCACAGTTGAAGCCTTTCCAGAAGTGGGTTGATGCGGTTTTGAATTGTTTTCAGAGATAACCAAGAAGAGGAAATGTCTTTTGTCCTTCATATGAAGGAAAACTGTTATGTTGTAATACTTCGTCCAGGTACATCCCTGAATTTTCTTCACTTCTTGACTTTATATAAACAGGAAATAAAAATGACCTCTGGACTATGACCTGAGCTAAGTATAGAGCAGATTTTCATCAGAGATTGTAAAGGTGTGGTCATGATAGACTTTGTGTTGCCAAACTACTGTTCAAGCCTGAAGTCATTTTTGTTTTTAGAAATTTCACAAGCATATGCCTTCTTAAAGGGATAGTTCACCTCAAAATAAAATTCATGTTATTCCAAACCTGTATGACTTGCTTTCTTCTCGATTCCACAGAAAAAACTTTTATCTGACTTTCCAAAGAAATAAAAGCATGCTGCTTTAGAATGACATAAGACAAGTTAATGCTGACCAAGGTTAGAAGTTTTGGATTTTTCTTTAGTTTTAGTTTTTATTTCGTTTCAATTTTTTTTTTTCAAATTCAGATAGTTTGAATTAGTTTTCAGAGGGAGATTTACTAGTTTTTATTAGTGTTTATATTTCGAAATTATTTAGTTTGAGCTTTTATTAGTTTCAGTATTAGTTTTAGTTTTTTTGTTTGTTGTTTTTTTGTAAATAAGGATATTTTTTAGGTGCAATGTTCAAAATTATCAGAATAAATATTGTATAATTAAAACTTAGCAAAATATAGGCTGCATTTTTTTGACACAAGAACACTACCATCTACCCATCCTCTAATCCAAATACAACTGCCCTCAAAATAGCAGCCTTAAGTACAATATGTGTGCAAGGCTGCTTCTGAGGTTAGATACACACACAGTAGCGATGGGAAGTTCAGATTTTAAACGCAAACCAGATCTTTTGTGACAATCTTCACTTTAGTTTAGACTTAATTTCAGTCAATTAAAACATCAGCTAGATCTGAAAAGTTTCTTACAATTAAGTTTTGCAACCCAACTGAAGCCTGATTCAATTATTTAAATTCCATTATGACTTTCTGTTATGAAATAAACATACATTTTGCCAGATCCTCTCATTAAGCCCTCGGTTTATCCACGCTGCAGTTGATCAAGTTTAGTTCAGTCATAGCAGACTGTCTTGTACTGTTTGTGTTCGGTTCACCTGCTGCATTACACATACTGTATGTACTATTATCAGTTCACTGCTTCTCAAATCTGATCTAGGTGTACTGTTCTAATAACTGAATAACTCTGGAAACTGGTTTATTTTGAGTGAGAGAGGGTATCAGTCATGTTAAAAAGTAAGTAGATTGTGGATAAGTGCTTATTGTCACTGGAGACACAAATCGTTTCAAATGATTCAGTTAGATTTGGTGAATTAGTTCAACCAGTTCACTTAAAAGAGCCAGTTAAAAACAATGATTCATTTGCGATCACTAATACAGAAATAAACCTATCACTTAGCATAAATGTGTTAAATTAATACTTTTAAGTGTCTGCTCGTGTCATATTTAATGTTGTCACTGTGCTGCTGTCATGTCCACCCGTTTTTGTCATGGGACCAACAGGAGGACCAGCTTGATCTGCCCAATGGCAGGAGGATTACAGACCTCTGTGGTGTCGTACAGGTCAAACACCGGGCATCGCGAAGTAAATAGATTTACTTCTAAAAAGCTTACAGTAGGTATCAATGGGACTGGGCGATATGGCAAAAATGCATCTTGATAATTATTTTCTATATATTTTGATATCAGTTGTTGATGCTTCAAGATTTAAAATAATAACTCATCAATGACTGAAGCAACAAAAATTAGAGGGATCTCTAAATGACATAACATTTTTGGTCGATAAATTTTCGGTGGGTGAAAATTCTGTACATCTCTAATATCAACCACTTTTAGATTCCAATTGGTGCACATTTCTGCTGTGTGACTGGCTCTTAGAACAATATAGAGCAAAAAAGTCCAGAGCTTATCATTGATCAATGTTATTTTATGCTATTGACACATTTAACACAATTCGATATAATATCGTTTATCGGCCCAGCCCTATGTATTAAATACATATACAAAAATGGAAACAAAAGATGTTTTGCTACAATCATAGTTAGTTTATTATATACAAAATACAGTTTTAGTTTTTTTTTTTTAAAAAACTCGTTTTTATTTCAGTTAACAAAAATGTTTGTTCTAGTTTTAATTTTTTTTGTTGATGTTCGTTAACTATAAGCTTGATGCTGACAGAATGACCATTTCTTTGTGAACGGTCCCTTTAAACAAGAACACAGAATTCGAATAATAGATTAAAACATTTTTAACAACCTCAGAAACATCAGTTACACATTAATTCTTCCTTTGTCGCACTTGAAGTAAATGTTTGGTTTGCATTATCTTAACTATGTACTATCTTTTAACTGTTTATTGACTTTTACATTACTCTAGATCAGGGGTGCTCAACCCTGTTCCTGGAGATCAACCTTCCTACACAGTTCAGCTTAAACCCTGATCAAACACACATTATCCATTTAATTAGGACTTGAAGCAGCGCTTGATAATTACAGGCAGGTGTGTTTGATATGGGTTGCAACTGAAATCTGTAGGAAGGTAGATCTCCAGGAACAGGGATTTTCAGGTAGTGTTTGTTACAGTAGGACATAAGGAAACATTTTTCACTTGTGTAATAACCTCATATAAATAGTGTTTGTAGCTGGTCACTCATAGAGATTATTTTGTTTATTAGTTTAGGGTAATTAATATTAACCAGGCTGCGACTGTTAGAATTCATCTTTACGGTAGGACTGTTATTGTGAATAGATCGGAAGGATGGATTATATCAGAGTAACAGCATCTACATAAAAGATATTTTGAACAAAAGCATTGCATTGAATATAGAGCCCATTTCATCACACGTCTTGTGAATTGTGTTAGTCTTTTGAAACCAAGAGATGAACAGGCCAAGAATGTTTCATATAAAAGGCACACAGCCTTCATACCCAAGAGTGATCTTCCTCCTCCTCCTCCTCAAATAACCCTCGTTTTACATAAAATAACGTACTTTATTGCCGTTTTGCTTGCTGACCTTATCTACTCAAACTAAGGAAAGCAAGAGGACGAGAAACAGGTGGAGGAGAAAGTGCAGAAACAATGAAGAATCGTGTGTTATTCTGGTACTGGTGGGCAATGTCACAGCGGATTTGGATAGAGCACAAGCATTAAAGCTAAAGGTAGGAGAATGAGAGAGGCGTGAGGAGGAGTGCAAGGCAGAGGCATGTCAGAGAAAGAACAGATAGATGAGAAAAAGTGAAACGAGCTGGATAAGAGAACGCTGGTCCAACAATATAAGAACAATATAAGTGCAGTATTGTTTCCTATCTTATCAATGCCACTACCTACGTACATCCATTTCTGTGGTTAAATACTGGGATCATCTAATAAAGATCCAGTGACATCTACGCTAAGAGCTTGTGGAGTCATGTCAGACTGCTCCTGCCTAGATCCCATTAACACTAGGTGAGCTGAACTTTTCAGAAAATTCCATTGCATCATACAAATGGGAAATTCTGCCTAAGACATGATGACTGGTAAGTGCAAACTATTGTGTTGAAATCCTATTTCACAATGCAGGCACAGCATCAAGCGTTTCTAAAGTCAACATATGTGGACAAGTCCATGCCCATGAATGGATAATAGCTTTGTGGATGCACAGCTACCTCTTTTGACTACAAGAATAAAGTGGCCCTTTGCATACGGGTACCGACCTTTTTAAACAAGGCCCTAAGTTTGCAGAGTCTGCAGGTACTCTTGGATCTGGCCTTTCTGTTGATGCTGTCTGGTTCCTCATCACCCCCTTCATCTCTGTGCTCTTCCTGTCCTAGCCAGGGAGTCCAAACCCCTCCATGAAGTTGCGGGTCTGCCATTGGGTCATCAGGCGGATTGCGTGGAGACACAGCAGTCCGGTTGTACTCGGAAAGTCGGGTCAACAGAACCTTGACCACCTCAGGCCGTGCCTCTGCCAAATCTGCCCTCTCATAGGGATCAGCGGTGATGTTGAAGAGCCAGACAGACTTTCCTCGCTGATCTCGTCTCTTTTCCATGCCTTGCCACTGCTGCGGACCTCCAGGCATCGTCTGTGGAGGGAACCAATCTCCATCACCGATGTTCCCTGTCAGAAGTTTCCAGTCACCAGCTCGAATGGCTGCACGCACTCCTGTATCCCAGATCCCAAAACCATTCAGAGTTAGGAGTTTGGGATTGATATCTCCATGTCTACGTGATACCGGATCAATGTTGAAGAGGATTTCAGTTCGTGGACAGGGAAGACCACTGCTTATAGTTTCCCAAACATCTTGACCATCCACATGGTTGGAATCAGACTCTCTGTATCCTGCAAGAGACAGCAAGGTTGGATACCAGTCGGAAATGTGAATCAGAGCATGACTCACCACCCCCTTCCTTTTCAGAAGTGGGCTGTGTACAAAGCCAACTGCTCGAACTCCACCTTCCCAGTAGGAGCCCTTGCCACCACGCAGGGGCCAATTACAGCCCCCTGAGAGAGGCTGGCCCCCGTTGTCTGAGGAGTAGATGAGCACAGAGTTGTCGTAGTAGCCTCGCTCACGCAGCTCACTGACAATTTCCCCTACTGACTCATCTACACCGCTCACCATTGCAGCATAATGACGTCGAGGTCGGTTGCCGAGGGCCTGGTAGCGTCTGAGAAGATGCCCAGGAGCTTGTAAAGGTGTGTGAACTGCCTGAAGCGCCACATACAGAAACAAAGGCTTCCGGTGGTCATGACGTCTCAGGATGTCTTTCACTCTGCAAGAGACCAAATGACCACAAAAGCTTGCATGACTCGGGGAGAGGCAGTTTGTGGTTTACAAATGGACGCAGTCTCTCACCTCTCAGTGTAAAGCCTTGTTGAGTAATTTCCTCTCAGTTCCCAGGCCGGCCGGTCTCCATCATGCAGGTCGAACCCACAGGCCTCTGTTCCGTCACAGCTTTGGAAGCTGAAATGGTCTCCGCTGCCCGTCAGTGATCCAAGAAAGCTTTGAAAGCCACGGCTTGTTGGCAGACACTCGGGATGACAGAAACCCAGGTGCCATTTCCCTACCATGTGGGTGCTGTAGCCAGCCTCCTGGAGCCTCTCAGGGAGCGTCGGCGTGTCAGGGGGCAGGCACAGGGGCTGACGTGCACGAATGATGGAGTGTTGAAGACCAGTATGGATCTGATACCTGAAGCAGAAGATAAGCGGTGATGTGATAGACAGAACACATATCAAGAGTTTCTCAAATCTGCCATGCAGTCTAGCTCATACCCTGATCAAACTCAGCGACCTGTCATTTTCTATGACCTCCAAAGACTTTGATTAGTTTGCTCAGCTAATACATTCATTTCCATGCAACTTTTTATGTATTAAGTGCAAATGGAGTTCAACTTTAGGCTTAAGGTGTTTTTGATTAGGGCAGGAGCTAAGCTCTGCAGCGTAGTGGGGCACTCCATGACCAGAATGAACCCTTGTCTATACCAAAAAGATAGGTCACTCTTTATTTTCATGGTCTGTATGTTGCATTTAAGTTACATTGCAACTAATTCTCATTAGATTTTAAGTAGACTGTTAGGTTGAGGTTGGGGTTAGTGTAAGTTGATATGTACTTAAAAAGTTTCTTATAGTCAGTTCAACAGATATTAAGCAGACGGTCTACTAATACTCAAATGGACCATCAAAATAAAGTGTTACCTTTAATCACAACATAACAACAATCCTGCTAATATTGAACGTGATAAAATATAAACGCAATAGTATAATCTAAATAAGATTATGTCTAATAGTATGTCTCTCATTAAAATACAAATGGTTTAACGTTTTGTTTAACCAAGTCGTGCTATTATAACAAAAAAGTGGGTCTCTTACCGTCCAGTCATAAGCTGGCTGCGTGAGGGTGAACAGATGGGCTGAACATAGTAGTTTTCCAGCTTCACCCCTTCGCCAGCCAGCTGGTCCAACACGGGTGTTTGGATCTCTGAGCCATGGTACCCTATGTCATTGTATCCTTGGTCATCCACCATCACGAAAACAATATGTGGGGGAACTCTACCCCGTTTGACGACCTTTCCTTCTATAGTGTGTATTAGTCCTAGAAGCAAGCAGAATCCGAGTCCCAACACATCCATAATGTGAACGTCAATCCACCACCTCACTGGTCTATTAAATAACGACTTTTAATGTTGTAAATGTTGACTTCCAAATGAATCAAGCCAAGTTAATAGAAAAGGCTTGCTGTTGTGATCCATCATAGTGCATAAAGTTAGTTCTTCCACCCCAGTAAAAATGCTATTTTTTTAAGCCAGTGCTGATAAATGAAATCTTGCCTGTAGTTTGTTCTTCTCGGTTTGTGAGGCTAGGATGGTATACTGTACGTCTGAGTAACATTATGAACTGTCCAAAAGTAAACACTGCTGTCTTCTAACAGGACAATGTTACATTCCTCTAGCTCTCACTCACAGGATCAGGATTACAGACTATACAAGTGTAAAAAGCAAAACAAAGATTATTTCAAATTGAGACATTCACAGATTATTCTGTGACATGGTTTCTGCAGGTTGCACAGAGTTAAATTTAACACTTTAAGACATTTTGAGAGCAATATGAATGGAATTTTAGACCCATAAAGGGCTAAAGACTAAGAAATTTTTCAAATGACCCAGATGAAAAAGATTTTTTTTTGCCATATCAACATTTCTTTTAAATAATTTAATACATTTAAAAATACAATAATACATTATTATTTAAAAATTAAAATATTTTACATTACATTTTTAGCATCTTTGGCCAGATTGAGCAGCAATACATGAACAAAGAAAAATACGACCTGTTCAAAAAAAAAAGATTTAAGACCTACAGCACAATATTTCAGTAAATGTAAGACTTTTTAAGGCCTAAAAATTGGATTTTAAGATTTAAGACATTAAGACCCTACAGAAACCCTGTGTTAACTTAACATTACAGTTAAATCTAGTTTTACTGCATGACGTGCATTCAGAGCTTATTGTGAAGTGGAATCTTGGAAATTTTGGAATCATGAAGAATTCAGGGAATACACTGTTGACACCACCTGGACGGTAAGTGTATTACACCACAAGTAAAGCTGTGCTGGTGAGACAAAAACCAACATATTGTTTCATTGATCCTCTAATTATCCCAGAACCACAGAAAGGCCTTCACCTGATAATGAGTTCCTAGAACAGAGGCTGACTTCCGTGTATACATGCTGAGTGATGTTAAATGTGAACATGAGTACTGAAAAGCACTGATCTGTTGTACTGACACCGATGTGAATGTAGTCTATGAAGCACTGATTAGCTGCATATCAATTAAAGGGATAGTTCACTTGCGCTCATGTTGGCCCAAACCTGTATGACAAAACATAATGTCATAATTTATGTACCATAATTAAGCTTTTTAAGACCATTTTCACTTTGAAAGATACAGAAACATTTGTTTTCGACACTGTAACAGGGTGATTTACTAAAAAGAGTCAACTTAGCTTCAAATGCTACTGTAAAGTTGATCATTTTTTATTCTTATTTTTTGTTTATTTACTACATATTTTTAAAGGGTTGGTTTAACCAAAGATGAAAAATGTGTTTTTATTTGAGCGGAATGGTGGCTAAGTGGATACCATAATTGCCTCAGCAAGAAGGTTCCAGCAAGAGTCTCAGCTGGTCGTTTGGAGTTTGCATGTTTCCCAGTGTTTGCGTAGGTTTCCACCAGTTTCCCCAACAGCCCAAAGACCTGTGGTATAGGTGAATTGGATAAAGTAAATTGACCGTAGTGTGTAAATGGGAAAGTGTGTGGGTGTTTCCCAGCACTCAGAGCTGAGTTGCGGCTGGAAGGGCATCTGCTGTGTTAGAGATTTATCAGAGTAGTTGGTGGTTCATTCTGCTGTGGTGAGGAAAGTGAGTGTTATTTATTCAGCTTCATGCCATTATAGTCTCCTGTAACCCCTGTTCATCTTTGGAACACAAATTAAGATATTTTAGATGAAATCCAAAAGCTATATTTAAGCTCTATTTTGGGCAATTTTTTCAATGTCACAGATGTGTTTCTGGAGTTTGTGTTTGCTCAATGGAATTTTTTTTTTGCTTGCCACAAAAAACAAAGTTATTTCTTTGCGCCATACCTTAATGCGTCAAAACAAGAAAACTAGTTGTGTTCACTTTTTTCAACATAACATTTCTTTTTCTTTTTCTTTTTTTTTTTATAAAAACGACAAGTTTAACATTTTTAAAGGTATATTTATTGTGGAGATAATTACATAAATAAAAATAGATATTTGTTTGATATTTGATAGAATATAACTCCTATTCAACCAAAAGCACTTCTTTTACAAAACCTCGAGTTTCATGCCTATTTTTAGAAATAGTATGTCTACTCATCCTTTAATTCTGTATATAGTTTTTGTATGAATGGAAGATAACAAAAAGGGATATATTGCTCTGTTTTTATCATGAGAAATGGTGTATTTGCTTTTCTTTTCCTGTTTTTATTAAGGTGAAGTGTGGGTGATGGATGGATGTCGGCCCAATTGGGTAGCTTTACTTACACAGAGGAAAATTAAGACCTGTTTAAAATGATTTAAGACATACAACACGATATTTCAGTCAATTTAAGACTTTTTAAGGCCTAAAATTTAGTTTTTAAGATGTAAGACTTTAAGACCCCGCGGACACCCTGATAATCAGCTTGTTAGAAGAGCTCCATGCATAGAACTGTGTCAACACATCATTATGCAGTGTGCACTGCTACCTAGCCAATTCTCCTTTCTTGTTCTCTACCTGACCACAGGAAACCTTTGTTTCACTTTGAAATGTACATTCAGAGTTATGCACAATGACATTGCCTGCAGCATTTTCTTACTAGAGAAGTGTGAAATAATATAAATCTGTAAATAATACAATAGAAATTCACATATGACACACCAAATACCATTTGAATAACACATATATGCTCCTTCAAACTGAAATATGAGATGCTATCCTGTGGAGTGCACTTTGCAGAGTACTTATTGTCGAATTATAACAAACATCTGAAGTTAAAAGAGAAACATTCAAAATGTACAGCATGGTCAGGGGACGAGGAGGAGCAAAATTGAAAAACGTTGGATTACGTCAACAGGCTTATAAACTTAAAAAAAGGTAAAGGCATCTAACCTCTTTTTAAAGTGCAAAATCAATCCTGTTAAAATATTAACAATGAAAAAAATATTTTAATGTGTGTACTTCCATAGATAATAAAATTAGTAGCAACCTCAAATACGCACCAAAAAACCTGGCCTCGTCTTGTGCGCATTTAGAGTAAACATGTCATGCTGTGAAACCTCCCAGTTCAACAAATCAAAGCAGAAGTTTGTGGCACTGTATCCACCAAAGCCATGGTTTAGCATAAATCATGTGACATTTGCAAACACAACAGCTATAACTGGATCCCCTACAGAGGAATGTAAAAGGCCACACCAGTTGACGAAGCTTGTGAAAATTAAAATGGGGGAAACAAACAACACACACACACACACACACACAAGCTCTCTCTCCTATGAGATGAGAAGTGCAACACACATATCCGGCCCTCTGAAGGGCTATCGACCGCTCTCAGGTTTGCTCTGCCAGCGATGTCTTCTATGTAGCAGAGAGGAAATCAATGCCACAAAATGAGTCAATTTCCTACATTAAGCCAAAACAGACGACAGTCTCACCCAAGTGGGAAATTTCACAGCCATTTCAGAGCAGGAGAGAAAATGGAGGCGGCAGTCAGAGGGAAAGAGGGAAAACATGAGCAGCATTGCCTGTTTACCATTTAGTGAGCAATTAATTGTTATTAAGTGCAACTGGATTTGCTTCAGGAGACATATTTGGGCCTTGCTGCAAACCAAAATACTAAAATCATTTCTTTTGAGTAATTAATAAATGCTGAAATTAAACAGTTTCACTATGAGACTATACAGATGTCAAGTAGCAGCAACTTCACCTAAAATTGAAAATTCTGTCATCATTTCCTCTCCCTTCACTTGTTTCAGTTTCTGTGAACACAAAAGAAGATATTTTGAAGAAAGCTGGAAACCTTAAACCATAGACATATAGTATGTGTTTGTCCTACTATGGAGATTAATGGTTACAGGTTTCCAGCTTTCTTTAAAATACATTGCTCAGCATATTAAGTACACCCCTCACAAATCTCTATTCAATTCATATTATTAACAAGAAGCTATACAATATTATATTTGTGCATATACATTAGATTAGTCAGTACTGAAGCCAAATCTGGAGCTTATCTAACAAAATAACTTACGATAACGGTCACAAACTAGCACACCCAAACGTATGTTATGGAAAAATATGAAGTATAATTATGCTGAGCACTGTATCTTCTTTTGCATTCAACACAATAAGGAAACTCAGAGAGGTGTGAACCCACAGGAGAGTGTGTAAATAGTAAATAAATTGACTTTTTTTGGATGAACTATCCCTTTAACAATGCCTTTTGCCCATTTAATGAACGTTTAAAAAGGGACAAAACCAGTCCAAGCATCTTTTGTGTTCTGCAGAAGATAATGTCATACAGGATTAAAATTGAATCAATTTTATATACATATAATATGTACATTTTATATTCATATTCATTTAAGGGATATTTCACACAAAAATGAACATTTTCTGACAATTTATTCACTGAATATTCATATTTCACTGTATACAATTGCAATATTTACTTTGCAGTCAGCTATTCTGAAAAGCATAGTGTGATTAAAAAATTAATTTAAATGAATAAAAATGAATTAAAATTATCTTTAATACAAAAAGTCTTTCCAATAAGTAGTTCAGGACAGCATTGTCTCCTTTATAGGCATGGGCCGGTATATTATTCTGACGGTATGATAATCTTGGATAAAAACATCACTGATTTACAGTATTGTGATTACAGTTTTTATATATATATATATATATATATATATATATATATATATATATATATATATATATATATATATATATATATATATATATATATATTTTTTTTTTTTTATGTTTGGGTAAAAAACCAAACTTTTTGCCTTTTAAAAACAAGATAATTTACTTTGTGTAACATTTAAAATATTTTGGAGCAGTTAACATGTCAGGCTGAATACTTTAAATGAATCATTGACTTCTGTGTCTTCATTAGTTTCAAAAACACTGATTTCTTTACAATTGAAAATGACATCTTTGGATATCTTTTTCTGCTGAAGATACTGTTGTCTTAAAACAAAAAAACAAAAAATCTAACATATACCATAGGAACAGCATAGCAGGAAAATTTAGCAGTTTTAAAAAGATGACTTTTACAAATCGCGGTATGAATAATACACAAACATACTCACTTCAACCAGCAACCTTCTTGCTTTGAGTCAATGTTAACTACTTAGCCACCCAAACACTCCCAATGAAGGTGTTAATGCTTTTGTGGCCAAACAACCAGTGAGCAGCACATAAAGCATTAAAGCCCATGTGTTATTGATGGATGAGTGGAAATGTTCCAGGTGTGCAGTGTGTGTATGCATGCATTATGGGAAATGAAGAGAGTGTTGAGCTAAATGACTCAAGTCTACAGCTCCACTAAGTGGAGAGAAAAGGAATAACAAATACAATATTACTTACTGAAGC